AACCGCCTCCTTTTTTCGAAGTCAGTTAAAAAGTAAGTAAAAGAAATAAGTGAAATTATTATATAAAAACAACATATACTAAAATTCACATAAGAACTTTCATAATAGCAACTAACTTGGGTTCATAATAATAACACCAATTTGTTTCCTCTCTCTTTTCTCTTTGTTACCTCCACGGTAGGATTTTCTCCTGTATCGTGGAGGCAGCTTACAAACATAAATTGAACAAGGACAAACATCCAGATCCGGAATCCCGCACGGAACAAATATTTGTAGGCCATACAAATATTTGTTCCGTGCGGGATTCGAACCTGCGGCCCCCAGCGCAGCCTCATTGCTAAGCCACTGCGCTAAGAAGCGCACAATTGCCCTTTGAGTTTATGTTATTATTCAAAAATGAATCGCATATGTATACGCGGTGACGCCGTCGCTATGCGTCATTCAGGAGTGCGCATGTGTGTACGCACTAGCTTCTTACTGCTCATCACAGCGTCTATCCTTTTCGTACGTGATGTCGACTGAGATAGCATGCATTTTAACCGCCCACCATTTAGTTCGAGCTATCGACTAGGGCCACCTTAAAACAAGTTTAAAAAAAAGATTATTTTAACGATTTTTATAAAATGTGCAGTATTTTCCGTGACACAGAGTAAGTCATAAATCGTAAATAATTAGTACTATAACCCCCTGTAAAGATATAATGTACCAAAGGTCAGTGGAGCCGGGGGTGAAGTATTTGTTGAGGCGATCAGTGCGGGGAAAGATCAGAGCAAGTCGTTGAAGAAGGTGCAGTTACCGCAGACACAGGCCGAGCAAGCACTGCCACAGCCTGTGCCTGGACCGACATTACCACAAATATCTGCGGGCATTAAAGCGAGTTAAAAAGTAATATAGAGTAAATTTAGTGTTAAGGTCGATCCTAGCTGTACACAGTGGGGAGAGATGTAACGTATTATAGGTTAGTTGCTGGGTGATAAATAAGTCTGTTGTCTATATACGCTTTTGGTTGACGCTCCAAGATGAAACCCCACTATGGTATTGTGTAGTTCACGAACAATGAACGAGTAGGAAACGTATCTTTCTAACGTATTCTTCACTGTACTAGAAGGAACGTTTCCAAACGCTGATTGTTAATGGGCTAATAGCTCTTTTCGTACACCGAACGAAAGTGCGAACGAGAACATACGACAGCGAGTGAATGAGAGAATCGATGAGACGTTAAAGAATAGACATTAGTATAATCAGTGCAATAACGTCTTTTTTTGCTAATCATTCGAAAAAATGTAAAATTCGTTGTGTTCGCAAATTATTGTACAAATTAGAATTAACAAACAAACATTTGATATACTTCGTTTCGGCACTTGTGATCGCGTAAAATTTATAAACTTGAAGTTATGTTGTAATTATAACAACTATTGAGGAGAGTTTTAGATTTTTTATTTTTTTTTTTATATTCGTTTCGTCCTTGTATGCTTTTTTTCGCATGCTATGGATATGGGATTTTATTTTACTAATGCTAATAATTTTTTCAATACTTATTTGCTTAAGACTTTTATAATTTAACCTAGAAATTATTAAGTGTGCGCGCGCGCGAGCGCGCGCGTGTGTGTGTTTGTTTGTGTGTGTGTGTGTGCGTGCGTGCGTGAGTGCGTGCGCGCGCGCGCGCGCGTGTGTGTGTGTGTGTACATACAGATAAAGTTTAAATTGCTCAGTAGTACTGATGATCGAAAAGAGCTAATAAAACTAGTTCACTGTTCGAAATGAACTAGTACGGAGCGATCTTTAAAATGACCGAAAGCCTGTTACACAAGACTATCCCACTACATGGACTGAAAACCTGGTAAACATCAAAAATCAATGGATGCATGTGGCTCAGGATCGTGTTTTGTGGCATTCCGCGGAGAAGGACTATTTTCAGCAGTGGACGCCTCTTTGTGGAGCTGGCGCTAGCATTGGAGGCTGCCGAGCGGCACGCCGTGACGAGCGGCGTAGCGGCGGCGGGCGCGAGCGAGCACGCCAGCGGCGGCGGCGCGGGGCCGCTCGACGCAGGCAGCGTGCACAGGATCGGTGCGCAGGCGGCTGCAGGCGCTGCCCGCGTGCGAGATTCACGACAACAAGTCTGCTGGTGGTGTGCGGCCGTCATGTCGATTTAAGCAGTTCAGTTGTCATGAGTGCAGCGTTAAAGGCCATTTGCGGGCCATGTGTAAAAGTTTGCGTAGTGATCGCTTGTCGAGCAAAGTGCCGAAACGTAATCAGTTTCTCTTGGAATCTGACTCCGAATCGGAAGACAGTGATTTATTTAACATGTTTGTCGACGGAGCTAAGGACAAACCGTATGTGATTCAATTCTATGTACAAAATGTGCCACTGGTATTTGAAATCGATACAGGTAGTAAAATATCAGCAATAAATGAACATCTTTTTAAAAAATATTTTCGTTATTTTGTAAGTTTAAGTTGCAATTTAAAGTTGAGATCTTATACCGGTGACTCGATTAAATCGTTGGATTTTATCACTGTGTCCGCGCATTATTATAACTCTGATAACGAGGTACGGGAGGCGAATGCACTACCATTATACATAATACCGGATGGTGTTCCTCCGCTACTCGGCCGAGCGTGGCTACGCTGCTTCCAACTTAAGAGCATAAACATAACACTAAACTACTTAAAAGATGAATTCACAGGTGATAAAACGAAACGCATAATTAATAATTTAAAAAATGAATATGTTGACGTTTTTGCTTCGGGATTAGGTACGTGTACAAAGCGATTTATGTTAAAGGTTTTTAACTTTCGATAACGAACCCATTTTTATAAAGCGCGTAACTTACCATTGTCCTTATAGAAGTCAGTCGAACAGCAATTGGAGCGACTCGTTAATGAGGGCACAATAGCTAGAGTAGAAAATTCGCAATACGGGACACCTATTGTACCGCTCATAAAAAAGTGCGGTAGTATTAGAATTTGCAGTGATTATAAAATAACAATTAATCCAAAATTAAAACGTGAACCCTACCCCCTACCGCGTATTAAGGAATTTTACGCAGTTTTGAGTGGTGGCCCTATATACGTTGCACATATGGGTCGACTGTTTGGACATTGCGAAGGCCTTCGATCGGGTTTGGCACAAAGCGCTTCTTTCGAAGCTCCCTTTCTAAGGACTTCCCGAGAAATTATGCAATTGGATCACCAGCTTTCTTGCAGATCGGAGCATCAAGGTTGTTGTAGACGGTGCAAGCTCCGATTACAAGCCTATTAATTCTGGTGTTCCACAAGGCTGCGTGCTATCGCCAACGCTGTTTCTTCTACATATCGATGATATGTTGCGAACTCGTAACATTCATTGCTATGCAGATGACAGCACTGGTGAAGCTCTGTACACCGGCCGTGCCAATATTTCTCGGGAAAACGTCTCTGAGTACCGGGACAAACTTGTGTCTGAAGTCGAGTCGTTGCTGAACAGAGTCTCGGATTGGGGACGTGGAGTTTCGTGGTCACTTGGAAGAGAAGGCCAAATTGGCTTCTAAAAAGCTTGGCGTGCTCAGCAGAGCGGGACGGTATTTCATGCCGGCACACCGCCTGCAACTGACACGACCTGGGGACCTTCAAGAATAGAGCTTATTCGTTTCTAAAGGGTCGGCAACGCACCTGCAATTCCCCTGCTGTTGCGGTTGATCATGGGCGGCGGTAGTCACTTAAAATCAGGTGAGCCACATGTCTTTACATGTCATTAAATCTTCTATAAAAATATTTTCAAAAATAGATTTGTCACACGCGTACGAACAGGTAATATTAACGGAGGAATTACGAGCATATACAACTATAAGCACGCACATACGCACGTTCGAATATATCCGCACCCTGAATAGCTTAAGCTGTATACCGGGAAAATTCCAAAAATTGATGGAGGAGATCGTTGGGGGCGTACCTAACACTGTTGTATTCCTAAACGTTATATATTTTTCGGGGACAGAGAAAACTCATTTGAATATTTTGCAAGAAGTTTTTCGTCGGTTATAGACCGTTGGGTTTAAAAATTAAATTAGAGAAATGTGAGTTTCTCGTTACTCGTTGGTTAAGAAAAAAAGAAGAAAAAGAAAGAAAAATATTTATTTTTGACACACACAAGGCACCAGAACACAGAAACAAAAAAATAACAATTTAAGAACAAACAAACAGCCAATTAAAATTAGGTAAAAAAAATTATACATAATATATATTCTTAAAACTAGTGCCTCAGGGTGATGTCAAAAGATAGGAACCAATTCAGCATGATGTCAGGTTGAAACCTAACACTGATTTTCTAAGAGGTCTGTCTAAGGAGACTGCAAATCACCTGGTGGTCCTGGATTTAAATCTCGGGTCCGGCTAAAATATCAGTAATTGGGATAAAATGCCACGAAATTCCCAGTAGTAGTCAAGAACCAGAAAGACAATCACGTGATGCCATTGGTTCTGCGCCTGTTTCCTCTCCGGTCGTATCGATAACCATTCCATTGGACTATGAGAGTGAGGGAATAGTGAAACAGAGAAGTTGCCCAAGTGGACTTGTGCATATACTTGGACAGCTTCCTTCAGGGTTTGTTCTCTGAGCGAAATTTGGTATGGAGGTATTATATTATTATGTATGTTAAACAGATATAAAAGTCTGATTTTATAACCACGAGTATACGTGTTATTGATAGAAGTCGACGAAGGACATGTTCTTCTTCATCTTTAGCCAGTAAAATTCCATTCTGAGTATAGGTTTCTTTTTACCTTATTGAAGAGGATTTGTCTTAAATCATCGCACATGTAAGTCAGATTGAGGATCGCAGTATCAAATATCTCGCATTTTTGACGCTCCTATCCGACGCCTAGGTATTAATAGGTATAGCTGCTGCGACAACAAAGTATGACACTTATGGCAAATCCTTTCTATAATGATAGGGACTTAAATCTAGACTGTTACGGACAAACAACAACGAACACGTATTTAGCTGGATCATATTATTTCAGAAATTCTCTGAAGAACGCTACAGCTTCAATCACACACGAATCCACCGGGGCTTCTGCATTTCATCAAGATGTTCAGACGTCGACGAGGTTTCACTAAATAGAAAGTTCGTGAAGTGCGTCAAAAACCATACCCAAAAGTATTATGGCTTCGATGCAAAACTTTCGTCTCTCGACTATTGCAAGACAAATAAAACACCACCTTCGAGACCAATTGACGGTCTTGATATAGCGTTTATTTATTTCTGCGGAATTATACTGTTAATGAATGTGATTGGAACTATTTACGACTTCACACGCAACCTTGACCACAAACGTAAGTAACATGGCCATTAAATTATTCATAAATCATAGACGGAAAATTAAATAAAAGCTCAATCATAATTAACAATCATAAAAATTCTAAACATACATAAAATTGTTTTACATATAACTGTTTATCATCGCTTACTTTAATTAATTAATTTCAATATTTACTAGAATAATTATCTTTCCAGTTTATGGCATTTAATTTTTAAATTAGCTACATAATAAATAATGTTTTTGTTGCTTTGTGAACTCACTTAGTGGACAACAAAACCAGTTTATTTCTCTTTCTCTCTCTCTGGCTAGGAAATAAATGTTTCTTGTCATTTAGTAAAGAGATAGAGAGATAGAGAGAGAAAGAGAGAGAAAGAGAGAGAGAGAGAGAGAGAGAGCAACTTAAAGAATTTCTTAAACTGGCGTCGATTTTTGTGAGAAAATCCGCACATATATACGTTTTCTGTGATTTTATCAAAATACATTGGCATAGGCATATCATGTCTAGTATTAATGAAACTGGCAATTAAAGCAAATTCTGTTCCTTTATCCGACTGCTTAGAAGCAGGATTATCTTTTTCTTATCAAACCCACTGAAATCTAAAGCAATTGACTGATTTTAAAGTACGAGATATTGATACGAGCTTAAGGTTCGTGACAATAAAAACTGCCGATTGAATTACCAAAATTGACACTTTAATTGCTGAACACCAATTAAAACTTAAATCACACTAATAATTATTCACAATTAACACTTTAGTTCATTTTATTTCACTCCGAAAGCTTCGCTCGTATCGCCAATTCAATACTTCCCCGGTAGCGGGCTTCAACGCCTTTATCATTTTTCACCGAACATTCCAGCAAATACCGGTCCCGACCGACTAAGTGCAGAAATTTTGAGAGTGTACTTTTCTAGAAAGCTTGATTCTTCCATTCTTTACTAGATTGCGCTGTTGGGAGAGTTCCAGAAAGATCTTGACACTCCTATTTCTAATTCTTGATACCAGATGGCGCTAGTGCCATCAACTGTGGCGCGCAACAATATCATCACATTGGATATCATGGGATAGATTCCTTGTTATTAAAAAAGTGTATAATAATAAGAGAAGAAAATTATATTTTTGTTAAAGTTAGGATAATTATAGTAGATCATCATTACTATTAGACACTATCCCACTACTATGTTTCCTGATTTAATGAAACATAGAATAGTCATACCATTATTATAGTCTGGTAGTACATTAGACCACAAATTTTATCAAAAATGAGTCAAATACAAAAAAAAATAATTTTAGATCTGATGTTATTATTTGAATATAAATAATTTTTTATATTATTATTTTTGCTTCACAAAAATCAATTTGGTTTTGCAAGGAGTTGTTCGACAACTGACGCCAGAGTTGAGATCTTTGTGCATGGGATAATTCAGAGGATGCTTTGTGTATATTTTATGACCTTTTTAAGGCATTCGACTGGGTCATAATAATAATAAATTAAATGCTGATAATATGGCTATAATAATAATAAATTAAATACTTTAATTCTTGAAGATTACAAACTTAACAATGGGATGGGTCTTCCTAGTACGTTTAAAAGAAAATCTGTGTAAGGAGTCTCCGCTCTTCCTTATCTATAAAAGTCTGAAATAGGAAAGATTTTAATTACATTGTCATAATATTTTACATTTTTATAGATTAGCGGTGATTTAAAAACGGTAATTAATGTATTACTTGTGCGTATTTAAATGCAAATTGTATGGGTGATGAATGGTGTGTGTGTACACGTGCGTACGTACGTGCATGCTTGTGTGCGTGCGTGCGTGTGTGTATGTGTTTGTATGCGATTCATTACTTTATTAAATGTAATACGTCTAATGGCGGCTCCACATTATCACCTTGAATTCACGCCATGAATTCACGGCACAAGTCATGCCCTCTACATTCACGAGAAGCTCACAATTGTTCGTGAAATACGCTGCGAAACGGACGTCGAAGCTGCTGCTGCAATAAATTTATTTGCTTTGGCAACATATCACTACTTAGACATCCAAAACAAATTAGAAAGCGTTGGAAGAAAAGAAGATGGTGTATGACTAAAATACATCGTTTGTACGCCTTTGTAGTCCGAAACGAACTGGCAAACGATGTGTACGCGTGAACGCCACGCGAAGGGTGCGTGACCACTGCATCATATTTATTGGTGAAGGCATCTTTTGCAAGCACTCAAAAAAAATTACCACTGGATGTTAGTATTTAACATCATTTTAAATAATTTTATGCCAATATTCCAGCTATTCCTTTAGTTTCAGCGGTGACCTTTTAAATAAAAAGTATGTATATATTTTTATAGGTAATGTCTACTAATGGTAGGTAAGGTGTGTTTCTATAAATAACTGTACAAAGCCAAGGAAGGAAATCGGAAGAAAAATATTATATACATTTTCCGATTATGGATTATTTATACTTATTAATTTATACGGATGGGGTGATCCGACGTGGATAGAAGAACACGCGTTTCAGAGTATCCACCCTAGGTTGGATTTTTAGGATAGATAAACGGAATAACTCCACTAAATTATATTTTGAGTGTTGTGGAGCAGAGATATTGGTTTAAATCTCATAATAGATAAAATAAACAGAATTCCACACAAAACAAACACAAATCAGATATAATTTTACATTACTTGACAACCATTTATAAAAATAAAAAACGTATCTAAATATATAAAAAACGTATGCAGCGATTGGAATATTGACACATAAAAAAAACTCGCACTCTAGGGAACTTAATAGTAGTACCATTTCAAACAATAATTTTAATATCCATATCACGTCACCAAACAGATTATATTCATATCTGGATCAAATAACAAGTAATATTGAAAATGCTGAAGTTGACATACTTTATTTTCGTCCCTCTGATCACGAAAGAGTTCAAATTCTTACTTTAACTACAAAAAAAAAACTTAAATCCTTCACTACGTGGTTGGAATACAAAAGCGTTTACAATGAAAATAACATTAAAAAATTCTATGATTGCATAACGGGCCTCTCATTCTCAAATACTGACACAGTAACATAACAGTACAGACATGTCAGAATAGTTTCAGAGATTTTACGAGTCCTTACAATAAAAATAAAAATAAATAATAAAACAAACTAAATAAAATGAACAAAAAAAAATAAACAATACCACACATCTACTAATTAAAAGTGAAATTAAAAATGTATACCATACCAGAGTAAATTAAAGTGTCTCTGAAGAACTGGTTAAACAAAAACAACTTACAAATAAACACACAAAAAACAAAGATCATACTATGTAGTTTTTACAATTTTAATGCCCCATCACTTACAGAAAAATATAACGACTCCAAAATTGATATAGTTGACAGTTACAAATCCTTAGGAGTAATAATCAACAATTAACACTATATATTATTTAAAATTTGCGCGTAGCACCATCTTATGACAAATTGTATAGTTGCAAATAAATTTCTCTATATTTAGTAATAGAAGTATTTCAATAAGTATTAACTATAATTTATATTTCATTAGAAATTGTGTTTCCGTTTCTGATTAAGAATCAAAATTCAGATTCGTTGTCATCCCTGAGGATTCACCAGTCAGTTCGCTACACCCACCATACGAAAGACGGTAGCATTGAGCTGCTATTTTACGCTGAACTGGAAACCCTCTTATTGAAAACGGGGCATTCCATCTTAACCTTCAGGGGTGGCTACACATCTGAGTTTTGATTTTTAATCAAATATAGATGTAGATATTTGTCATCCTTAAAGTTAATTAAGTAAAGTTACAGCCTATATACGTCCCATGCTGCTGGGCACAGGCCTCCCCTCATTTCTGAGAGGGTTTTAGGGCAAGGAATTATCCGCCGCGCTACCCTAATGCGTGTTGGCGAACTTCGCATGTTTTCGAATAATTTTTTTTCTTATTTCTCAGACATCCAGGTTTTTGTATGTGGTAAATCAGCACTTAAAATTGCATTTAACAATTTCATTGATGCCGGCGGGGATCGAACATGGTTTGCTCGCGTACTGTGAAGTACTCAGCGAGCGCTAACCATCTGAGCTACCACGGCTCTTTCTTTGTCATCCATATTCTATAAAATTAAATGAAATGAAATACAACCATTATATAGCTATATATAAGCCACGGTCAGTGGGCACAAATTTCAATAATTAACTAACTACTACTAACAATAAATTGTTTTGATGTTATTGCTTCCACAAGTCCTATGTCTATAATAAACATTGCTTTGTTACAGCTAACCGGTATTTGATAACTTGGTCCTTAGCTGAAAGCTGGAAACGACTGACAAATCCGTATGAAAGTGGAGACCAAAGGCTTACGTCTTTTAGTCCTATCAATGGAATAAAGTAAGTTCTTATTTGATATTTGAGGTATATTTCAATATTATATGGTTTGTTGTTTCTAAGAAGGATAGCTTTGACGTTGCCTACGAATTTTGGTTTCGATTCCATTAGATACCAAGCTCTTCAAATTGTTATCCCTAAGAAATAGCACGATTTTTAATCCGTCTGCCAAGCGTGGCGATTAAGGTAAATTTTTTCTACATTGTTTAAGTCTCATGTTCAGCTGTGGACTATTGAAGATAATACTATAGTGCAGCTACTGTTGTAACTCGATTTATTAGAGAGCAAGAAGCTAATGTGATAGAACTGTTCTAATAACTATAAGTGGCCGTCTCGGTGGGTACCGGTAAAGGTATGGACTACAGAGAGTCATTATAAAGACAGGCTGTGAGGTATTTGACTTTAGTCCTCAGATGACAATGCTCAAAAAATCACTACCAAAACAATACATGAATTAAAACAAAACATGGTACTCGTGTGCACCAATTATTTTAAAACGTACACACGTTACTCCAGACCTTTGATGATATGACTATGCAATATTATATTATCAATTGAACAAGAGATCTTGCAGTAAAAAAGTGCTTGTATCGCTCATAAACACAGTTTTTCTGAATACCTCAGAATACGGTGTCAATTTTAGAACCCCGTGGAATAAGATGCCTTTGACTTATCCAACAAATGATTGCATACTTGATCGATAAAGCGTCGAATATGCCATACTGTCGATAGCTGCCATGATGCGATTAGCTTTTTATTAATCGCGTATATCTATACAATAAATAAATACAATTGAAGTGTCTCTTCTGTAATATCGAAATAACTGCCTTAACCCTAATATATTGAGCTGAATGGGTTAATGTATGCCATTAAGATATGAATAACCATTTTTTTTGTCTGTCTGTCTGTTTACCTGTTTGTATGTCCTAGGGCTAATGTTAGTAATGGCTGAATCTATTGTAATTAAACTTCACGGACAGATAGACCGCACTGCTATGAGTGATATAGGCTATATTTCATCCGAAAAACTTGGAGATTATTCCAAAAAATCGAAATTTTTTCAAAGTATATAATCTTTGATGATTATCTTAAATCTTAATAAAACCACTTTAATAGATTCCTCAGCAAAGCCGAAGCGAGTTACTAATAAAACTTAATTAATCTTTTTTTAAATAGGTGATTTTTATAAACTTTTATTTTCTATAAGTCATTTATTTTATTCTTAGATTGTGATACGTTTATGCATTGTGTAGAAAAAGCGATTCGATCATTGCTTCTTATGGAAATTTTGTTCCGTCCGTTGGTCTCTTGGCATAAATTATCTGCTTTTGATTTTCTAATTTTTGAATTGTTTTTACGAAACAGCACATCACATAATTTATTGAAAAACACAATTTAGATATTGTAAACAATATCTAAGCTGTGCTGTCTGTCATAAGATGTAGTTGTAAATCATCTTTCAGGCTAGGCGATTACGAAAATTTTTCGTAATCGGATTGTTTGGGCCCATTCTGATATTACGTCTTAGATATTAGAGAATTGAGATACTCACTTAATTTATATACTCATTTATTTTAGATTTAAATTTTTTTGAAGAAAATGTAATTTTTTTTCCTTCATTGATATCACGAAATATATCCTGTTAATTATTCCGTGATTGAAATGATGACGATATAGTTATGTGGTACCTATACCAAAATTTACGAAAACAAAAATATATTAAAGAATTTTACTCACATTTTAGAGCAATTTCTCTGTGTTTCGTTGTGCTGTCACATTCTGTCCTGGCATTCTACGTCTCATACCTCCGAAATCCTCAGTTCGTGGAGTACGTAAGTATTATTTTCTATTTTTTTTTACAATAATTTGACAAAGGCGACCTTTTTTACTTATAACAAGATATGTATTCCTTCTTACGCCGCAAGAATGATAGTGAATCTGCATTTTGATCACTATTTTGAGGAATGATGATAAATGTAAGCTTGTATAGGACACACCATCAGGTGGAATGTGTAATCCTCTATCTGACTTTTATAAACGAAACAAAGGTAGAGCGAACAGGCTTTAGTTTACAAAATATAAAAAAAAACTCTTTTTTATAACTAACTTCATTGTCGGACATTGTTAATAGATTTATTAATAAATATTTCATTTGATGAGAACAAGGGCTACATTGTGTTGTCATCAGATTAACAAGTTATTTTCTATTGTGTAAACAATTCAGACCGTAACATATGGTAGTAACTAAATTTATTAAAAAAATAAAAATGTAAATTTCTTCGCAACCTTCCGCTAAATAAATACAATGATGTGTCTTACCTGTATTAAAGAGCACCTCCCGCTCTGCCTCAATTGCATGCACTAACTCCATCATCACTAGTCCCAGCACCACTACTCCCAACACCACTATTCCAGGTAAGACACACCATCGACGATAATACGACACGTGTTTCGCCTCTACACGAGGCATCTTCAGGTAATGTAGACTCTACGGCGGCTGACCGACTTCCGAACCGACCGAAGTCTTAACTTAGCGGTCAGCCGCCATTACCTGAAGATGCCTCGTGTAGAGGCGAAACACGTGTCGTATTATCGTCGATGGTGTGTCTTACCTGGAATAGTGGTGTTGGAAGTAGTGGTGCTGGGACTAGTGGTGTTGGGAGTAGTGGTGCTGGGACTAGTGGTGACGGAGTTAGTGCATGCAATTGAGGGAGGGCGGGAGGTACTCTTCAATCCAGGTAAGACACATCATTGTATTTATTTAGCGGATGGTTGCGAAGAAATTTATATTTTTATTTTTTTAATAAATGTAGTAACAACCATATGTTACGGTTGCGAAGAAATTTATATTTTTATTTTTTTATTATAATGGATTTCCGCAAAGTAACGCCTGATTCTATCATTTAATTTTATTTTTAAATTGAAAAGCAATTAGTTTTAAAATTTACAATTAAATTACAAGTTTTACTATTTTATTATATAGATACCCATATGTTATGGACCAAGTGATTAATTGGACATTATAAATAATGACCGAGCAAGAATAATTCCCAATATGAGTGAAAATGTGATAAAAACTATTGAAATAATTAAATTGAATAGACATTATGAATACAGCCCGTTACTTATTTGTCAGTGTCTATTTAATCGTTAATAGAATGATTCATTTTTTAAATTTAATTTTAAACATACTATTATCGTATGGTTAGCAAATTAACTTTTTAAATAACTTTAACACTATTAAGTTTTTGTCTTAAAAGTGATTAAGTAACATGGTTAGGTTTGGTTAAGTTAGATTATATTAAATTGCCCAACACTTACGTAGCAACATTCAATATGACATACGGAAAGGAAGGAAAATTAAAAAAAAACTTGAATTTTTGCGGTTTTCTCAAAACATCTTAAACCAATCTTAAACTCACAGAAAATATAAGTTCAGCGAGGCCCTTACAGATACCGCAAACCGCTTTTCGATCGGACACTTCGTCATAAATTTATGAGATGTTTTATGACATGTTACACATGTGTGTACATACGGATATACAGACATACGGATATCATCGCAAAAATAGCCAGAATAGTCGAGATCTGATGAGAACTCAATTTTCAAAAACCGGGGTGAAAACAATAACTTTCCGATTTTTTTAAATAATTGATTTTAATAGCAGTTATTCTAACACTGCCCACAGAATTCTGAAGAGACCGAAACAGGTGAATATCTGAGGGTGCAGCGTCAGGACTATAATATGGTGGATGCATTAACACTCCCAACCAAGCTCTCTCAATTTTTGCTTAGTGGCCAAAAATGTGTGTGGTCTGGCGTTATAATGATGAAAGACCACTCCTTTTCTGTTGATCAATTACGGCCGTTTTTTTTTTGAATTTATTGCTTGAGTCTCACCAGTACAGATAGGAATTAATGGTTTTGCCCGGCGGTAAAAGATCATAATAAACGATGCCATTCCAATTCTACCATACACACACGATCATCTTATTGCGTGTTAACCCGGGTTTCGCTACAGTATGTGGAGCTTGACTACCTTTTGATCATGATCTTTTTCACACGTTCTCGTCGCTGGTACTTTTCATCACCAGTGATCAATCTTTTCAAAAATAGTTCCGTTTCAGTAGAGAATTCAATTCATTAGCTTTCTTTCAGCGACCTCATCTGGCAACTTTACACTTATTTGGAAGAACTTAAAAGTTTAAGACCAATTTTCCAACATAAAAGGTACTCTTAGACTGGGCATCAATGTTAAAATGACACTATATTCTTCATCGATTTCGTATTTATTAGTGATTAAAACAAATACTAACGTTAAAAAGACAAATTACTAAAAAGTAGTAAAGGCATAGTTAACCTCAGTTTGTGGCAAATTTTTCATCGGGGTTTATAATGAAAATAACAGGATTTGACTTCAAGGTTGAAGGTAAGCTTATCTCATTATATGATACTCAACATTCAAACTTTAAATTATTTATTTAAATCTTTTCATAATAATTTCTTAGACAAAAATCTAAAATATATCAAACAAAGCACTCTCCTCTATAATTAAAAGTCAAAATGGTGTAATAATAAGTTTAAATATATTATAACATAAATCAAAAATAAAGCTTGTCATAATAACTTCAACAAGTACTTATTTTTTTATTAGTCATCAAAAGAATCATATTAGGATCAGGTAAAAAATTATAACGAACCTATATATTGTTTTCCCAAAAAATCAAATCATTCATACTCATTAAAATTACATTGTTCTTTGGGTTCAAATTAATATCAACACACTAAGTTGAAGAAATAAGAAATATAGAGTGGTAATAATTTTATTACTACCCTACCACGCAGTAAAACTAATATGGAATTCACTTTTATTTCCTTACCTTTTGTTAAAGATAAATCGATTGGCAGCTCTTTTATACGTGGTAAAGCCATGCTGCAGTTATATTAGACGTAAAGTTGTAGCAGGAATGGGTCGGCTCGACCAGAGAAAGACCATGCTCTCACAGAATACCAGCGTAAAATAGTAGCTTAAGGCCGAATACGTAAATAAATAAATTAATATATTTCTCTTCACTAGAACTTTGACCTGAAGTAAAACATTTTTGTAGGTTTGTTCGGTTCCTTCACAAGGTGCCCGCCGTTTTAAAATTTTAAAATAAATGAATATAGTACCAACAAATGAAAAAAGTTAAGAAATGATATTTAAAAATTATTGTTCTTCCAAAACTCTGTGAATTTTAATTTAGGAAAAATTCTTTTACGTAAAAATGTTTGCGAAGGTGCCTGCCGTCTTTATTTTCCATACAAAATATTATTTATTAACATAATTCGTTTTAATTAAAAACACCTAATAATAATATCGTATATTTCCAGATAAAAGTTTGCCGTAATAAATTACCAGGCGCTTCGACGTGTGACGTAAGGTGACAACAGTCGTTGTGTCTGTAGCGAAAATCGTTAATTTAGTGTTTTATACGCGTTTAAGTGACTATAAATGTGAATATGGGTAGGAAAAGAAATAAATGTTACCTAAGTGGTAAAACAAAGAGAGTTTATCGTATGAACGCTGCTCGAATGTTGTAAGTTTCTTTTTGAGGTTACTTATATTTTTGTAAGGTACTTTTTTGTTTGAGGCTGCTTAATAGGCTGTATTTTTACTCATTTACATTAGCCAAACTGATCATTTATACTTTTCTAGGCAAGTGAGAAATACCAAAAATGTAGATATCACGACCGAGTCGGAAAATAATGCACAGAGTAGTGCAAGCACAGAGACGGCAATTAATGTCATAGTCAATGTATTGTCCGAAAGCATGGGGTAAGTACATAATTAAGAAAAACCGAAATGCTTCGGATGTGAAGTGATTGACCAGTCGGAGTAGTCTTGTGAGAATTTACACACACAGTACCTATCCCCACTATGGGGCAATCACCGACTTTTTAGTTTTTTTTCTTTATTATTTATGCAATTTGCATTACAGCATCTTGTAAGACTCACCTCACTAGAACAAACCTTTTCAGTTATATGAGGTTCTTTACGTACGATGCACCAATTAAGAAAAAAAAATCGATATGAATTCAATAAATTTTCGAACAATATTTTATAACGAATAAAGTATTTACAGAATTTATAATCTATAGGAACTAATATTATAAATAAGAAAGATTTAATTAAGAAGTAAGCAATGCTCTCTGTGTTATTCATTACTCTGCATGCTGAGCTAGCTCAGTCGTACGGGCTTTGATTATATTATACATGTCTATATAAACAAAACGTACGGGTAACACACGTGATGTTCGATAGACGGCGCGTGGTTTGCTGCGAAACGAGCAAGGTCAATCGCGTCGTATTCGGCCTTAATGCTGCTGTGTTTCGTATGGTGAGTGAAAGAGAACCGGAGACCCTTTTCACTGGAAAGGAGGCATTTCATCTTAGTCCCTATGGGTGACAATGCATCTGCATTTTGATTCGTAATCGGGGATAGATGTAGATCTCTATGGGCCACAGCAACCACTTACCACAACATGTGGACTATGTGCTCGTTTGTCACCCTATCCTATAAAAAACTCACTTGGTATAATTCGTATTAAAGACTGCTACGGTGAAACATATAAACAATGAATGTCAAGTACAGAATCTACTCTTGGATTAGTCGTAATCGGTAAAAATATCGGTTGAAAGTGACAACTCTTGGTTGTAACAAAATATTACAAAGTTACTGTCATATTGTGGCATTACTAGTATGGTAACTTTGGCAAGTCAGTTTTATAGACAAAATGTTAAGACAACCATGTTAAAAACCAAATATTACATGTCCTAACCATTCTTATTACGTGACTACAAAGATATAGGTACATGCAGTATTTCAAACAAAATCAACACAAGTGCTGGAGCACTGAACAAAAAGGTTAAATCGCCGCTACAATTCCACGTTAAAATAAAATGCCAAAATTAACTTTCGTGTAGCCATATCAAAAGCGATGCTGTCAATGTCAAAAAATGGCATTCCTCGAAAAACTTTATATTGTATTAGTCGTAATTTTGTACCTATACATCGCAGATGGCAAAGTTAACTTCAATTGATAAAGTTGCTAGACATGACTGTACCCAAATATCAAACCGTTTTATGGTTGATCTTCAATTCCATTGCTATGTCGTACATAATAATATTACGATTTTGCTCCACTTTTTCAAAACTGGCAACGACGTTATTTATTTGATCAGAGTGCACTGCATTTTTGGCATCAAAATTCCTAGGCTGAAAACGATTGAACCAATTTTATACTATTACTGACACTGCATCAGACCCATAAACATCACAATTTTCGCCACTTGCGTCGCGTTTTCCCTTTTTCGTAATAAAACTACGGAATGTATCGAATTTCTTTGTTAGATTTACTCATTTTGGCGGACAGAAAAGTTATTGAAAAATGGCGGGAAAGTGTTTTTAATTTTTTTCCCCTAATGTCCTTAATATTGATAATAAAACCAACCAATTGCAAGCAGTGCAATCAACAACGAGCTATTATGTATAAGTACATATTACTTCAATGGCAATCAAAGAGAATTTTTCCAATTTTATGCAAACAAAATAAGAAGAAATTTCTTCCCCGACCTATTATTATCACATGTATTATATCTGTGTTAGTTATATTCATACAGCTTATATGCATATGATAGGAGAATAATACAAAATTATAAAACAAGTTTCTTACAAATTAAGGTTTAACTAAGGTGGAATGTAATAAAGCCTGCTATTATACTGGCACATCATACTCTTTAAATCGGATCAAAAATAGATTCGTTTTGTTTGGCTGTGGGAAAAGAAAAGAATAAATTAATATGTTTACAATAAGCACTTTTTATTTATCTATAACTTTAATAACTACGTCTGAATAAGTAACAGCATAACACTCTACTTTGGAAGGGTAAATTAAACGGAATGTGCCGCCCATGTGTGTATATGAAATACTTCGGATGTGAAGTGATTGACCAGTCGGAGTAGTCTTGTGAGAATTTACATACACAGTACCTATCCCCACTATGGGACAATCACCGACTTTTTAGTTTTTTTTCTTTATTATTTATGCAATTTGCATTACGGCATCTTGTAAGACTCACCACAGAACATACCTTTTCAGTTATATGAGGTTCTTTACGTACGATGCGCCAATTAAGAAAAAAAAATCGATATGAATTCAATAACTTTTCGGACAATATTTTATAACGAATAAAGTACATAATTTACAATCTATATTAAGTAATATTATAAATAAGAAAGGTTTAATTAAGAAGTAAGCAATGCTCTCTGTGTTGTTCATTATTCTGCATACTGAGCTAGCTCAGTCAAATATAATATAATTAAAGCCCGTACGGCTTTGATTATATTATACATGTCTATATAAACAAAGCGTACGGGTAACACACGTGATGTTCGATAGACGGCGCGTGGTTTGCTGCGAAACGAGCAAGGTCAATAGCGTCGTATTCGGCCTTAAATTGCGTTCAACAAAATCAGCATCGGCCAGCACCTGGACAGTTGCTTATGGAATGTGAATTAAATAATGAGCCCATGGCCATAAGACTACCATGGTTCAAAATATGTATATTACTATTTACCATATTCTTCCACATTTGGGACTCGTTATTATTAGGGATGTGCCGAATATATATTTCACCGAATACGAATATTCGGCCGAACATTATTCGACAGGATTACCTCGGTACCTAACCAATTTATTTCGAAACTTGTTACCGTAAAGCGCGCGTGATTAGCGCCGGACCCTTCCCCTTACTCCCCCGCCACACCTGACATGTTATTACATCATCTAAATCTAAATATATTACTGAGCAAATTGCCGGCACATGCTTATGTTTTGACTATTTTTGTGAGAAAAAAAGTATTTCGTCGTGTTATTCTTAGTGAAAATTGATAAGTATATGATGAAAATGAGTGATCTGCTATTTGTACCTATTTTAGAGAAACTGACGACTGTAATATAATGTTTCTTTGTTTGATTCTAAACAAGATTTAATTAAGCTTTCTGTTTGCTATAATTGGAAATAAATCCACAGTTCCTAAAAACATAACATGGCATTACTCAGTTTGTACATTTCCAGTGGATACTTTAGCGAATATTCGGTGAATTAGTTGAATATTCGGCAGAATACGAATATTCGGTAAAGCTGCTGAATATGCCGAATACAAAACGAATATTCGGCCCATCTCTAGTTATTATATAATATGTTCCGTAAAAGTTACGGATTGACCTCGCATAACTCTATTCTTGATCTACAATTAACCTGATGGTAATTGACTACTGCAGCCCATGGACATCTGCAAATAAAAATGACTACAAATGTATTGTCATATCTGTGGACTAAGATGAATTGCCTCGCAACCTGTAATTATACCGGCTATATGTCACCCTTCAAGCCGGAACATAGCAGTACAGGCACTGCTATTAATTATGTCGGCTATATGTCACCCTTCAAGTCGAAACATACCAGTACAGGCACTGCTATTTGACTGCGTCGTTGGTCTAGTGGTTATAGTAGTGCGACTGCTGATCATGAGGTCTGGGCTCGAATCCCGGGTCGGGCCAAAAAAAAATTAATTATTGAGTTTTTCCGTCAAGCAATTCGCAGTAAATGACCGGAGTCAGGAAGTTGGCGGTGTCTCACCCCCGTGCCTCGGAAAGCACGTAAAGCCGTTGGTCCTAAACCTGATCTCTCTCCGGTCGTGTCGGCTTACCGTCCCATCGGATTATGAGAGTGAGGGAATAGAGAGTGCACCTACGCTTGCGCATACACTTGGGCACTATAATCCTGTCCTGCGCCGATGGCTAGCCTCCGTTGAGGCAGGCCGCCGTGACCGATATTCGGTCTGGAGAACATTATTATTATGATTTGGCGACACCTAGATCGTAAAGGAGTCCTATCGCCAGTAAATATTTTTAGTAAATTCTTTAAGCGGTGTTAACAACGTGTACTGTAGTATTTTTTTAGAAATACAATTTTATTTACGAACAGTCGAGTCGACACCCACTAAGCACGCTGTTTCAAAACGGAACTGTGATCGTACAGACGTTTATAATGCTGTCCAGTTTTCTACTTGCCTACAACCTGTTGATCGACAGTGAAAAAGACCCAAAAGGCCTTAGACTTCGCTCACTACCACGTGTTTTCTTCAATCGTATTGCAAGGTTAGTTACTAATTGGCAACATTTTTATATCATACTATATTATATTACAAATGCAATAATTTTATTTTAAACAGTTTTCGTTGACGACGTGAGATATCTAAATTTTATGAAATTTTATTCTTTATTATGTATTTCATGATTACGACTTAGTATTCTCACTAAGTGTACAATTAGGTCGGTTCAGAAGGTAGGTGTGTTCTTGAAATAGTCACGATTTATAGTAAATTATTATATTTGTCTAATTTCCGTACACGTACAATGATTGAGCTCTAGATAGGAGATCATTAGCCTGACGTAGGGAAACGAAGTCCAGGCGCTGTCCTTTCAGGCTCGCAGAAAGTCGGCTAGCGGAAGGAACCGATGATAACCTGTCCGACGGTGATGATGGCCGTTGGCAGTGTGGTAGGCCAACAGTCCGTGAGCTCACGGCTCGGCAATTAAGTAAGCCTTAGGTTGTAAGTGGATCCGGGAATCCCAGATTGAGGCCAGCATTAGGGTGACTTCCAATAGGACTATATGCACCCTAGTGAAGTTCAGCGCCCCTTCTAGGAAGTTAAAAATTCCTAAGCACTAAGTAGCCCTCGCAGAAGCGATAGGAATTAAGCAGAACAGTTATGATAAAATAAATAAGAACTCACGTCAGTGGGATCAACTGAACTTTGAATAATTAAAATTTTGAATGTAGGTAAGCAAATTGAACGGTTGTTCGTTTAGAGTTGCAATTTAACGACTTCTAAGCTGTCGTCATTGACCGAAACTTGTTTATTACAGTACTGCAAGATTTATGATAAACACTAAGCCCACAAGCTCCCAGGGTTCTGATAAAAATGAATATTCTTATGATAGAGATCCGACATTCGTCAAGACTGATATTTTTATAGTTGCGTTCGAGAACTGCCATTAACAGTTCCTGCTTAATCCATTATGCGTTGGTGACATTTTTTAAATAATATAATTAAGTTGTTCAACAGAATTACGCCATTGAATGGTTTTATGGTTGTCTTAATGGCAACTTGGTGGCGACACATGGGCGACGGTCCACTGTGGATACCATTAGTTGAGGCGGAGTGTGCACAATGCAGGAACAAGTGGTGGGCGCATGTCCTGTATATCAACAACTTCATGGAACCGGAAAAAAAGTGCCTGATACAAACATGGTAACTACTTCTACTACTGTTATCTTTTTCATTGTGTAAAATAACTAGTTTCGTTCAAAATGTTTACGTAAATACAGGAAATCAGCGTGATAAAAGTGATAATACCCGGTTGAGCCATGATGTATCTACATTGTAGTTATAACACGAATGGCTGGGGAAGGACCACGTTCTTAGAGAATAGCAGAGTGAAATAGCAAGTTATATGGTATACACTCACAATATGAGAATATGATATATTGTGAGTGTAGAGAATCGGAAACCCTTGTTACCCTGGAAACGAGTTATTCCATCTTAGTACACAGGGGTGACAACACATACGCATTTCGATTGTCAATCGGGAATAGATCGAAATATCTGTGGGTCACAGCATTCACTTACTTATTACTTTCATCTTTAAGCTTGACTTTAGATTTCGTAAAGAGGTCAATGTGTCCAAATTGTTTGTTATACGTGCGAGCGAGTCGCGAAAAACAGAGCTTCGGAAGTAATTTGTATGGTGCCAGTGAGTCTGTAACAAGGTTGTATTGCGTGTACCGTATTTTGGAGTACGAAAGGTAATTCTTGACACAAGATTTGGACAATCAATATTACTGTTTATCACATCATACTAAAAAACCATGTCAAATGTACGTCGCCTCTGTTCCAAAGATAAGAGATCGTGCTCCGTGCATGCCTATGTATCTCATGCATGTCTATGTACGAGTACGTATCGAGTTTATTACGACAGTGAAAATGAAGGTGATTAATAAATATTTTTTGAATTTGCTCAAGGCGGCTTTATAAACATGTTACTTTGGAGACCATATCGAACTAACGTATTCCAAAACGCTTCAGACATACGCAAATAAATAATATTAATTGCATTAATATCCGAGAATGGTTTTGCAGATGCGAATAACAAAACCAAGATTTTTAAAGGCTACTGATAATGATAATATAATCAATGTGTTCGGTAACAATTCATGATCGAAATATATGCCATCCCTGACACTTAGTTTTCGATTGATACATAAATGTAATGTATTCGCACTTGGCTGCATTAACGGTTATGTTATATAATATAAAATAATGAAAAAGGACTTGGACCGATTACTTGAATTATTATTTTATATTCAAGTAAAACTGCCGCGTAGTGGCGGTTGAGAATATCCACTATCCCATATCTTCCCGTGGATGTCGTAAGAGGCGACAGATGGAGACAGGCAGGAGATGGGCAGCAGCATCTTCCTAATAACAACAATAATATAATAAAAAACTGCGGTTGCCAACCTGCTCGACGCTTGCCAACTATGGCAAATATCCCCCATGAGTAACGACGCAAACAAACGGCCCCCAGTCCCCGCCGGGCCCGCTATTTCTGGCTTCGATGGCGACCATGGTAACGACGGGGCAGGGGGTGCTAAGAATCTCCGGTGGAGGTTCGGTTGCCACCTACGTAGACTCGCGCTGGCAACATATAACGCACGCACCCTGAGGATTGACGAGAAGATCCTGGAGTTGGAAGAAGAGGTAGACAAGTTGCGCTGGCATATTATTGGATTATCCGAGGTCCGAAGAGAGGGGAGGACACGGTAATTCTCGAGTCCGGCAACTTGTTCTATCACCGAGAGGTTGACCATCTGTCCCAAGGAGGTATCGGATTTATCGACCACAAGTCTCTCGTAAACAACGTTGTAAAGATTGGGAGTGTGTCGACGAAGGTCGCGTACCTGATACTCAGAATCACCAAACGGTATTCGCTGAAGGTCATACAGGTTTACGCACCAACCTCGGCACATCCCGATGAAAAGGTGGAGGAAATGTATGAGGATATTTCAAGAGCCATGCATTCATCCAAAACCCACTACACGGTGTTGATGGGAGACTTCAACGCAAAACTAGGCACAAGAGAAAGCGGTGAGCTGTAGTTAGGAAAATTTGGAGTAGGGCCGTAGGGACCAGAAGCTGGCCGACTTTATGAAAAAAGAGGGACTCTTTATAAGCATGAATGAACTCTTTCTTCCAGAAGCGGCTCCACAGGAAGTGGACCTGGTCGAGCCCCGACGGTTCGACAAAAAATGAGATTGATTTCATAATGACGACCAGATGCCAACTGTTCAGTGATGTGTCAGTGATCGCAAGGGTAAAAACTGGCAGCGATCACCGAATGGTTAGAGGCACACTGAACCTAAACGTTAAGTCGGAAAGGTCTCGTCTAATGAAGTCAACGCTCCATCCCCGACGTGCTCTAATCCAGACTCCCGATACTTTTCAACTCGAGTTACGTAACCGCTTTCAGTGTCTAGAAGATTGCAATGCAGTGGATGATATGAATTATGAGCTCGTGGAAATTGACCATGCCATGACTCGCATTAGAAGAACACAAAATCTCTCCGATCACACTCTTAATCTCATGGCTGTTAGACTTGAGATGAGGCTGCAATCGTCAACAGATTTCACAGCATACAGGCAACTGAACAGACATTCAGCGATCGAGCGGAACCAGGGCTCCAAAGTCTTTGCCAGAGATCTGTCTGCCAGTAAGAGCCAACTGTCAAAGCTGAAGATTGAGTGTGGCAGCATCGTTTCCGGGACACTTGAGATTCTGAGTGAGATTGAGAGGTTCTATGGGCAGCTGTACGCTGTGTGAGTAACGATCCAAGAGCAAGTCTTATCCGACACTATTCCGATGATATCCCAGACGTCAGTCTGAGCGAGATTAGAATGGCTTTCCAGCACCTTAAAAACGGCAGGGCCCCAGGTGGGGATGGAATTACAGCGGAGCTTCTGAAAGCGGGTGGAACACCGGTACTTAAAGTCGTTCAGAAGCTCTTCAATTCCGTCCTCCATGGTGGCACTACTCCGGATGCGTGGAGCAGATGTACGGTGGTCTTGTTCTTCAAGAAAGGTGACAACGCTCTCTTGAAGAACTACAAACCGATTTCCCTTCTTAGCCGCGTCTACGTGCTGTTTTCGAGAGTCATTACGAATCGTCTCGCACGCAGACTCCACGACTTCCAGCCTCCCGAACAAGCCGGTTTCCGAAAAAACTTCAGTACGATAGACCACATACATACCCTACAGCAGATTGTACAGAAGACCCAAGAGTACAATCTGTAACTTTGCCTGGCATACGTCAAAATTTGGGCGGTGCTACAGCCCTTCAGTGGTGCCAAGTTTACTGTCGGTATATCGAAGTGCTGAAGTGGTTGTACAGTAGGGCTACGATGGCTATCTGAGTACAGAACCAGAGTTCGAAACCTATCCAATTGCAGAGAGGTGTAAGACAGGGTGACGTTATATCCCCGAAATTCTTCACCGCTTCATTGGAAGACATTTTCAAGCTACTGGACTAGAAATGATACGGTATTAACATCAATGGCGAGTACATCACTCACCTTTGATTTTCCGACGATATAGTCCTCATGGCAGACTCGCTGGAGGACCTAAGCACTATGCTAAATGACCTCAATAGTGTCTCCCAATGGATACGTCTTAAGATGAACATGGACAAAACAAAGATCATGTTTAATGTCCATGTCACACCTATGCCGGTAGTTGTTGGGAGCACTATGCTCGAAGTTGTTGACGAGTACGTTTACCTGGGACAAATAGTCCGACTAGGTAAGTCCAACTTCGACCTAGGGGTCAATCACTGGTTTCAACTCGTCTGATCAGCGTTCGGGAAATTACGGCACATCTTCTCGTCAGGTATACCTCAAACTTTGAAAACTAGACTGTGCGTGTTGATGACTTACGGATCTGAGACGTGGTCTTTCACTGCTGGCCGTATGCTGGACACTTAAGGTTGCTCAGCGAGCTATAGAGAGGGCTATGCTTGGGTTTCTCTGCGTGATAAACTTAGAAATGAGGATGTCCGCAATCGAACCAAAGTGACCGACATAGCCCAACGGATTAGTAAGCTGAAGTAGCAATATGCCGACCATATAGCTCGAAGAACCGATAAGAGATGGGGGAAAAGGTTCTCGAGTGGCAGCCTCGTAGGAGTGACGACCTGGTAAGATATGCAGGAATTCGATGGATGCAGGTGGCTCAGGACCGTGCCTTGTGGCATTACTTGGGGAAGAAGCCTATGTTCAACAGTGCACTTGTGAAAGGCTGTAATGGTGATGAGAACTTCGTGGGAGGGGTGGCTTGGTTGTTATGTATTCTTTTTTTTTCTTGGTTGTTTGTTTTAATATTGGAATTTTTGTTGACTAAGAAGTTCATCATATCCGGTTTCAGGACTCCATCTGATAAGCTATTTGATCTTCGAATCGATGTCTGTGGTTGGAGTACGTTGTTCTTTTTTTCATGATACCAGCATGAATGTTTCTATCGTTCTGTGGTGGGGAGTTTTTTTCAGATGATGTAGGGAGTGTTCTTTTATTGTTAGGTTTTACTATGATCAGTTAAACTTATTTTAAACTTACTGTATTGCCTTTCTCTTTCTCTAGGATCATTTAATGTTGTAATTCCATTCTTTTTTCTAAAATGTATTGTAGATAGTCCTCCTTCATATAATATTGAGAGTATTTCAGCGTTCTCCTTTGTTTAAATAATATGTTTATTTTGAAACCAAGAGTAGTGAAGGTTACTATTATCGGCCGAGGTGTTTCACTTTTTCTTCCGATTCTCTTTACCTCCTTAATGTCTTTATGGTCTATCATCCTAATAGAAAGACGCTCTCTGATCCACTTGACGATGTTGTTTTCTAGTTCCTCGTATGACGATTCTCTCTCCTCGATGCCAAAGGACACTACATTTCTCTGTCTGGACTGTTTGTCTAAAAAGTATATTCGTTTATCGTGATTTTCTACTTTTTATTATAACTTTTGAAGCTTTTCTTCCCATAGAGAAAATTTTTCATCTAATATTTTATTTATATTCAGAGTTACTTGATGTGTTACATTTTCCCCACTCATCATTGATTAACGTTTCAGTTACATGATTACGTTAAGCTACTGGGGCTGATTTTGAGTATGTATTGTTTATTGATGGTAAGCACATCGCTTCAGGAA